CCCCCCGTGGGGGCGACTCGGGGACCTGTGTCAGGGCAGTTAAAGCGCACTCGTCCTAGGGCTACGGGGAGGGCCGCGTTTCTCTTCCCCTCCCGCTAGCGTGGGGTGAGGGTCTGAGCTCTCAGAAATGCATCCTTCCTTTCCCCCTGGTGGGCAGCGGGGAGAAGAGTGGAGATGCGAGGCGCCCAGGTTTTCGCCTCTGGCTCAAAAGGGAAGGCTGGTGGACTAGTTTGCTGTGGCCGTGGAAGCAAATGACCACAGACTTAGCTGAAAACGGCACAGATTTATTCTGTTTCGTGCTGGGGTCTGCCGCCCGGCCCAGGCTGAGGCCAGGTGTTGGCCGGCTGCCTTCCTTTCTGGACGCTCCGGGCGGAGAACCTGTTTCCTGCCCATTCTGGCTGTTGGCAGAATTTCAGCTCCTCGAGGTGGTAGGACTGAGGGCCGTGGGCAGCTCCCAGCTTCAGGGGCAGACTCATCCCTGGGCCCCCAGCACCGGCCTGCGCCCCCAAGCCACAGCTCTGGCCTCTCAGACTCCCTCTTCCATTGTTATGATTCCCTGGTCTCGCCAGGATAACCTAGGATCACCCCCCTGACCCCCAGTTCAAGGCCCTTACTGCCCCTCATCTCACCTGCAAAGCCCCTTTTGCCGTGTAAGGTCACATAGTCACAGGTGCCAAGGATTGGGGTGTGGGCATCTTTGGGGGCTATTTTTCTGCCACGATGGGTGGAGAGGGTTGAATGGGACATTGTGAGATCAGAGTCCAGTTAGAGGTCAGGTGGTGGCCCAGGCAAGAGGGGACCAGAATCCAGTGTGCTCTGTACCCAGCCTGGGGACGTGTGAGCACGGGACTGGCTCAGGCATCCTGGTTCCCGGCTCAGTCCTTCCTCTACGGTCTTGGTGACACTCTCGCAGGAGGCATGCAGAGCACAGGGAGTTTAAAGTAGATGGCAGAGTTTCAGCGACATCTAACCTTCAGCCACCAACCCTGAGGGTCCTTGCTGAGTGGCAGGTGGAGGCAGAGGAAGTGCTGGTGGGGGTCAAAGGGAGTGCGGGGCCCTCTTCTCCATTTGAAAGCGCACAGTGTGGCCTGGGGACCGGGGAGGCCGAGCAGTTATCTGAGGAAACCAGTGAACACACGCAGACGCACTTGGAACCTCTGCTGGGGACAGCAGCCCTCCAGTCACCATCGCTTTTTTTTCTTTTGAAAGCTGGAGCTCCGCATGAAGGAGAAGAGAGAGGACATCCCGATCCGGTGGTCGTTCATCAGCGTGCCGGAGATGACCCTTACGGTCCAGCCCCGGGCCCCGGGGGAGGTCAGTCCCTGCGTCCCTGCGATGCCCCCCCATCGGTGCAGCGCAAAGGTGTGCGCTGAGGGGGGGTCTCCTAGGATGTAATTTTTGACGTTGCATCACCTTTGCCATAGCCATTGGCGGAAGGCAAGTCTCAGGCCCCCCCCCCCGCACTCAAGGTGAGGGCACGACTCACTGGGTTCACCTGAGAGTCCTGCCGACCACAGACGGCATGGACTGGTTTTGCCTGTTCTGGCGCCTTATGGACAGAGTCGCGCAGCATGGGCTTTTCTGCGTTCGGCTCCTTTCACTCGGCATTGTGTCCGTGAGGTCCGTCCGTGCTGTGTGGGGCCATCCTTTCCCCTGTGTGGCTGCCCCACGATTTGTGGATCCATTTAGCTACTGATGGACACTCGGGTGGTTTCCAGTTGGGGCTGCTGTGAGCAGTGGTGCTGTGACGTTCTCGAATTCATGAACCCAGTTCTGCTGGGTATTATTTACTGTAGTTTTATAGCCTTGACACCTGGCTGTGTACGTTGTCCAGCTTTGCTGTTCTTCTAAGAACTTGTCTTCATTCTTATCAGGCTTTTCCATTTATTTGAATAGTTTTAAATTTCAAAAAATATCCAGTGTCGTGCAAGAAAGAAAAACCACATGTCTGTCCGTTTGGGAAAAATGACTAATAAGGATATTCACAGAAATATTACCATTTCTATGGTGCATGTAGCTTATTATTATTATTTTTTACTATTTTTAAAAATAGTTTGTATTACGTCCAAGATCAGTGAAAAGGACCCTCGCTCCCAGATATCTCCCGGGTCCTAATCTGACCTCCTGGAGCCCTGGTGACACTGTGTTTGCTCACCTCGGGGACACAGCGAGGAGAGCCAAGTGCTTGCCCGTCCTTTCGCGGGCACATGGCTGCGAAGTGACGTGGCGACTTCCTCTTTCGCAGGAGCAGGCGGGCGAGGCGCATGCAGTGCGTGAAACTCTCAGGGGGGTTCTGAAGAACCTGCTGAGCTCCGCCTCCCCGTCGGTGGTCCTGAGCGCCAGGCCTGTGGGCGCGGGGCACGTCCAGGTAAGGCTGACCACGGCTGGGGGTGCCTCGAGGCCCCGGAGGGATCGTGGGCCACGTCTCCGGGCACCTGTGTGCGTTTCCCACATTCCTCCCCCGCGCGGGTAGAGTGAGATTGCGCCCATGCTGCTGGTCAGTGATGACCACGCTCTGGGATGCTGCACGGTCAGGGCACAGGGCTCCAGAGCCCTGGGGATGGAAGGAAGAGGGCCACTCAGCATAGTCGGACCCTAACTAGGCCTGACCCTCCGCCTTTAAGAGCTCAAACTGGACTTTTTACTGTCCCCTCAGAGCCTGTGATCTTGGATCCCATCCTTCCAGGACTGAGGTGCCTGGGAAAACCAGTTAGCAATGAAAATGTGCCCCTGAAGTGGGCAGAGCAAGGTGCACTGGATAGACACACTGTCTAGCCCAGGCTGGGGACAGCCCGGCCACCTGCAGTCTGGGGAAGGTGTCCCACTCTCAGGCACCTGGCCTGGGTCGGGTGTGGACCTGCGTGGCTGCTCCAGTCTCCACCCACAGCATGGTTCTGGGGAGCCCTCTCTGGCTGACTGCATTGCTGCTGTTGGGATCTAGAAGGCTCCCAAGCAGAAATGATTCTGGTCGATGGCACCTGGCCTTCCCGTAAGAGCGGAAACTGTCACGAAGCAGACCCCGGCTCAGGTTCTGGCCGCTGCCTCGGTCCCCTGCCTCCCCACGGTCACGGCTGCTTCTCTTCCTGCAGAATCTCCAGCGCACGTCACCTGCCGCCCAGGAACCCTGCCCTCCCAAACCTCCCCGGGCTCACGACCTCAAACTAGTGGTGAAGGACATCCGAGCCTCGCTGCTCAACGATCCCGGTGCTTCAGGTGGGTGACCGTGGTGCAGGGGCTCTGGGTGCCGGCCAGGCGCCTGGCTGGCGTTAGCATGAGCGAGGGGAGGTGACCGGTGGCTTCTCGGTGGCTCCCTCCAGTTGCGTTTGCAGTGCGATCCTGCCTTGAGCGAAGATCTCCTGAGAACCATGATAACAACGCGAGTCCATTGGAATACAACCTGGATTTTGCATATGGGAGGGAAGGAAGGAAGGAGCACAGTTGTAGCTTTGCCCTTTGCCTTGAGCCTGGACTGTCCCATTTCCTGGAAAAACACCCCAGAAAAGGTTTTAAGTGAGCTGAGTCAGGTATAAAAACACACCTGTTGTGTGAGTTGTCCCCAGATGTAGAGTCATCCCAGATGCCCTGCCTTTGGCAAGTGGTGAGTCTTGTCCAGAAGTAGGGGCCACATCTCTGCTATAGTGAGGTCACCCCCAGGAGGGGCCCCCACCGAGAGGCTGTGCAGAGCTGAGGGGTGAGCAGGCACTTGGGGTCAGTCCGGGGCTCCTCATGTCAAGTGGGGATAGAAAATCTTTAACCCCAAAGGAAGTGGGGTGCTTTGAGAGTTTGTAAATGGCAAGTGAAAGAAAGTGGGCGAGCCAAGGCCTTAGGCATTTTCTTTAGCCTTCCTGTGATATGCAAAAGCATCTTAAAGCCATTCAGAAACAAAAGTAAAAGGCGGCACTGCCCCTTTGTTTGATTTCAGGCCCCAGGAACCTCCGCTGCGGAGTTCAGCTGAACGAGCCAGTTCAGAAGTTCTCTGGCGCCCTCCCCAAAAACACTACTGACCTCACTTGGAAAGAAGAATTCACCTTGTGCGTGCAGCTCGGTTACCGTGGGCCTGGGTTTCCACGGTAACACCCCTCCAAGACTGCCAACCCCTGAGATCACTTCGTAGCACCAAAAAAAAAATTTTTTTTAATTTTTAAAAAGCGTATTAAGCATCTGAAGCAACTTTAAGTCAAACGTAGATTTCTTTCTGAAGGCAGCTCTCTATGTGCCCCAAAGACATGCAGTGACATTTAATACCCATTGCTAATGCTAAAAACCGATTAGGACAAGAGCTATGGATACTTCTTAAAAATATTTTCAAAAAATCACTGAAAGTGATAAATACCAGGAGTCCCACCAAAGTCAAGAGAAAGATACCCCACTGTATGTGCTGGGAGCACTGGTTGGCGCAATTAGATAAGATAAATGATTTACAAGTAACGGCCAGGAAGAGGCGAAGCCAGTCCTTGCTTGGAGATGATATTATTGCGTGTAGTTATTGATGTGACTACTCAGGAGAAGCAATTAAAACCATCAGGAGTAGCAGTGGACATAGGATGGAGTAATAGTATTATAAAAACTTACATAAATAGTGTTTCAGGAAAGTGACTACAAAAATGTAGAAATCAATCACTTTCTGATGCTTAAACAATAAACAAGTACAAAAACGTAATAGAAGAACGTGTTCCCTGTATAGTATAAAGAGTTCTTATAAATCATTAATGAAAATATAACAGTCTCTTAGAAAAGTGGGCAAAATTTTCAAACTAGAATTATAAAAGCAAGAACTATAGATAGATAGAAACTTCTGGAAAGGTGTTTAATCTCAGAAACTGAGAGTAATGCAAATGTAAACAAAAGAGATTGTTTTTCACCTTATAGGCGGCTAAAGAATAAGAGAGTGGGAGTGGCCAGTGGAGTGTAAGTTGGAATAACGGTTCTGCAGGTCACCAATATGTATAAAACAAAGAAAGTCTCTTCGGTGCATGTGCCTTTTGACTGGCGGTTACAGTTTTCCTGAGGAAGTGATCACACAGCCGTGCAGAGATACATGTCTGAGGGTGTTTGGCTCAGCTGGGTTATAATTATTGAAACATTAAAATAATCCACCCGTTATTAAGGGTTGGTTACTAAGGAATTGGCTAAGTATAATCTCATAGGGCCAAATAGTAGAATAGCCACCTATTAAAAATGTTGTTGCTCTGTAGTTATTGACACGCAAAGATGTCCACGACATCTTAAGTGAAAAAAGTAGGTTTCAAAGAAGGAAAGAGGTCTATTATGTTCTATATTTTGTTTTTAGACAATTCTGTTGATACCCTTTTGGTATAGTAACTCATAGCTACATGTGGCTCTTTAAATTTCAGGTAATTAAAATTAAATCCAGTTCCTCCCCCGTTTGCACTGGCCACGTTTCAAGTTTTCAAAGGCCGCATGTGGCTAGTGGCCACCATATGTGAAAGCACCTGTATGGAATATGTCCATCTCCATCCAGAAAGCTCTGTGGGATGAGTTTAGGAGACTAGGCACCAAACATTAACAGTGACCATTTCCAGAGAGTAAGGTTGCAGATAATCTTTATATTTTTGGTTACATGTCTCACAGTTTTTTAAATATTGATGATGACTGTTCCGTAATATAATCAGAAAAAAATACTATTTCAGAAAATAATAAGGACTCACAGCTCTTTTTCCTTTGCACAGTGAGTTGAACGCCAAGTCGAAGGAGTTGCACCTGCGGATTTCAGAGGATGGGCCATCCTCGGAAGGTGGGTGGTGAGCAGGTGGACAGAGGCCCTGCCCGCTCTCTGGGAGGGTCGTCCAGCGCCCTGAGCAGGGCCGTGGGAAGCTGGGGAGGGCGGGAAACCCAGGGGAGGCCTGCCCCTGCCCCGCCTGGGCCTTCCCAAGGGAATGTTTGGTTGAAAGTCCATTGAAGTTATTAGCAAGGTTGTACGTTTTGGGGAAAGAGTATATTCAACTAGTTTTTTTGTTTTTTTTTAAACAAATATCCAAAATCTTTTATTGAACAATTCTTGGCTTAGAGAAGCAGTTCTCAACCCTTTTAGCCTCAAAGACCTTTTTTAAACTTTTTTTAAAAATGTATTTCTTTTTATTGATTTTAGAGAGAGAAGAACGGAGAGGGAGAGGGAGAGGGAGAGAGAAACATCAGTGATAAGAGAGAGGCATGNCAGTTCTCAACCCTTTTAGCCTCAAAGACCTTTTTTAAACTTTTTTTAAAAATGTATTTCTTTTTATTGATTTTAGAGAGAGAAGAACGGAGAGGGAGAGGGAGAGAGAAACATCAGTGATAAGAGAGAGGCATGGATCGGCTGCCTCCCGCACGCCCCTCACCGGGGATCGAGCCCGCAACCCGGGCATGTGCGCCGACCAGGAATTGAACCGAGATCTCCTGGATCCTAGGTCGATGCTCGACTGCTGAGCAACACCAGCCAGGCTCAAAGACTGTAAAAAAAAATTATGATGAAATACATGTAACAAAGTTTATCATCTTAACCGTTTTTAGGGCGTAGTTCGGTGGCATTAAGGCATTCACACTGTTGTGTGTCCATCACCACCACCCACCTCCAGAACTTTCCATCTTCCGAAACTGAAACTCTGTTCCCATGAAACACTCGCTCCCCCTCCCCCTCCCCAGCCCCTGGCACCGCCATCCCCCTCTCTGTCTCTGTGGATTTCAACTGGCTTTTCCTTGTAAAATGAGCCACAGCAGCTCAAGTTGAACACATGCTTTAGATACAAGAAAGCAACAATTAGAGGTAAAAAAAAAACCACTAAAGTGAACGTGGACCTGTATGTGTGTCTGTATATAGATCAGTAGTTTCCATATTTATTAGAATTTTTAAAAATCCCCGTAAACATACCGAAGGCAGGAGGCAGTGCCCTTACCTGGCTTGCCCAGCTGTGCATCCAGGCCGTTTGGTTATCTCCGGACATTACAAAGACTCAGGGAAAAGCCACTGAGGCTTCTGCCCTTTGGCGAGGATTCCGAAGCAGCGGCCTTGACCTGCAGCCCTGAGATGACCGGCCGGCCATTTTGCTGTCGTGGAAACATCCACGGCGCTCACGGCTCCCGTCCTGTCTTTTCAGCTCTGCTGGCGATGACGACCGTCCCTTTGGATCTGTTTAAGAAGCAGCCCTCCGGGCCGCAGAGCTTTGTGCTGACCGGCGGGCCCTCGGGGGGCGGCCCGGCGCTGGGCTCAGTCACCGCGGAGGTACGTGGCCAGGTTCCCACCGAGGGGAGGGGCATGGTCCTTGTTGTCCGTCGGTCTCGCTCCCGGCGACCGTGAGACCAGAGCTCCTCTGAGAGGAGCTGCGTTTCCAGACGTGGCGGGGCCCTTCCTGCCCCCGGCCTGCTCGGGTTGTCCGCGATTAAAATAACGCTCCCCGAGGCCGCTTCACGGGGCCCGCCCAGCAAGGGCTGTGATTTTATTTGTCCCTCTAGCTTGTGTCCCCATCATCCGTGTTGTGTGGCTGGGTTTGAGCTTGGCGCTCAATTCCTGGGTCAATTCTGGGGGCATCTGGGTTCATTGTAAAACTCACGGTGATTCATTCTGATGCCAACTGAGGAATCGGTGGCGGTCGGCGGTCAGCGGCCAGCGGCCCACGCGGGGCGGGGCGGGCCGGACACTGACCGTACAACCCGCGGCCGCCTCCTCCGCAGTTCTGCTACGTGGAGCCCTCGGAAGTGAGACCCTGGCACACGCCTCCGCCTGTTCCCGCTGCCAAGATAGAGAAAGACCGCACGGTGATGCCCTGTGGGACCGTGGTCACTACTGTCACCGCCGTGAAAACCAAGCCTCGCTTCGACGCGGGGAGGGCGTCCCCGCTGAGCTCCGGTGAGAGGAGGGGACAGCCTCCCTGGGGAAGCCCCGAGTCCCGCCGCGCTGAGCGTTCGCCCCGAGGAAGGCGGGGGGCCCTGGGCAGCGGCGTCGTTACTGAGAAAGTCTCGTGGCGCAGGGAGCGTGGTAATTGGCAAGACTTTCGTGTGGCTTTTTTTTTTAAGAAAATTATCTTCCTACTTTGTCAGATAAATGACAGGCGGAAGCAAGGTTCAACCTTGTAGTATATTTCGAAGCTGAAATTGAGATCGGATGGAACGGCCAGCTAAATTAAGAACTGTTACGTTTACACGGGGATGCCACTCGGTCTTGAAACGCTGGATGCACGTGGTCCGTGTGCAGTTTCTTCTGTTAAAAATCATGGGTTAGAAGGCTCAGTGGGCAGTCATTTTAGATGTAGTGGAATTCTATACCTGTCCCCCCACCCAGCACTGTGGAGACACCTCTGTATACTCGTATGACTTTTATTATTAACTTATATGGTGTTTCTGCTTATACAGAAGTAGTATCTTCCCAGAATAGATTGCTCGGCACAGTTCTTGAGTGCAAAATGTTCAAGAACAGAAATTCTCCCTTAATGAAAACATTTCTGAAATTTTATTTAAACCTGTGCTTCCAACACCCCATTTTGGCAAGCGCCCCCTCCCTCTGTAAAAATGAAAAAATAAGAGATTGTTAAGAAGTCCTGAGGTTTGGCCGTGCCTTGTCCAACAACATGAGATGGAGTGGAAGTGAGGTGTGATCTCACCTCCCGGTACCTGGATTTGGACGACGCGCGGAGGCCGTTGTAACCAGCATTTGTCCCCGGCAGAGTCTCCCCTGCGGACGCCTGTCAAGGTGAGGGTGATCGAGAAGGACATCTCTGTCCAGGCCATCTCCTGCCACAGTCCTCCCGTCAGCAAAACGCTGTCTTCTTCGGACACAGGTAACGGAAAGCACGCCCACGGGGCCTCCCTCTCTGCCCCTCTGGGCTCTTCGCACAGCCTTGCACCTGCCGAGAAGGGAGCAGTCCTTTGGGGACTTGGGGAGTTTTTTTGGGTAATAAGTAAAGAACTGGAAAGAGAGGGAAGCTGAAGTTGCCTGAAGACCAGGAACGACGTTAGCTCCCTGCTGTAGTTAAGGGGATGCTGTAACAAAATAGACACAAAGCCCAGTCCCCCCTCACTTTATAAAACCCCTGAACACTATTTTTACTCTTGTTCGACATACCAGTTAGAGGTCTTTTGTTTGTTTACCTGCTCTCACTGTTCATCCCCTCGATCGAGGAATAGCTCACATGCAAAATGCACTTGTGTGCATGTCAGTGAGCATCTCACAGAATCTGCTGCACACTGAGGGTCCACAGAGTTTTAATTTTTATTGAGCCGGGCCGGGCATGGCTCAGCGGTTGAGTGTCGACCTAGGATCCAGGCGATCGGGGTTCGATTCCCGGCCAGGGCACATGCCCGGGTTGCGGGCTCGATCAATGACTCTCTTGTCGTTGATGTTTCTATCTCTCTCTCCCTCTCCTTTCCTTTCTCTGAAGTCAATGAAGATATAAAAATAGATAAATAATTAATTCTTGTTGAGATGTCAACCCTGCCCCCCCCTGCAGAACTGCTGGTGTTGAATGGCTCGGATCCAGTGGCCGAAGTCGCCATCCGACAGCTCAGCGAATCTTCGAAGCTGAAGCTGAAGTCGCCGCGGAAGAAGAGCACCATCATCATATCAGGGATCTCCAAGGTGCGTGGGGCTGGCACCTGTCCCAGCCCGCTGTCCCTCCCCTTGTAGAAGCTGGCCCAAGCTCTGTTTTTTTTTGGGGGGGGGGTTGGTTTTTTTTTGAGGTATCCCTAGGAAGTACCTCTTTTTATTGATTTCAGAGAGAGGAAGGGAGAGGGAGAGAGAGAAACATCCATGATGAGAGAGAGTGATTGGTCGGCTGCCTCCTGCACGCCCCCTACTGGGGATCAAGCCCTCAGTCCAGGCATGTGCTCTGGCCGGGAATGAAACCGTGACCTCCAGGTTCCTGGGTTGACACTCAGCCACTGCACCACGCTGGCCGGGCTGCCCCAAATTCTTGATTGATGTCCAGAAAGTGCTGTGAACAAATGTGAGGTTAGGTCCCTCACTCAGCTGGGGGCCTGGCTCGTGGTATTTCATTCACGCAGATTATTCTGTTTGTGAAGGAAAAGTGGCCATTTCTGACTGGGGTGCTCTGGTTGTTGAGAGGTTGGTGAATCATTTGAAGAAAATTTATGGAAAGAGAAAGACTGACATGATGTCAGACTCCCTGTGGGACGGAGCCTCTACCCTCGTCACCGCTTGATTGTGGGGGACTTTCACTTTCAACATTACACATTTCCAAACCATTTCAACTTTCTGCCATGAATATTTATGCCTTTTTGCACCCAGGGAGAAACAGAGCTTGTTTATAAACATGTTCTGGACCCCTTCCTTCTGCCCTGTGACGTTTGTCCAGACAGAGCAGATGGTGGGTGTGAGGCCGTCCTGGTGGGCACCAGGCAGGCCAGGCTGCTGGAGGGGCTCGCCCCTCTAGGCAAGGGGCCACGTGACATTTCAGAATGAACAAGGCGAATGTGAGCAATGGAGGGACAGTTGGGAGATTCGGTGGCCGGAGGGACCAAGGGGCAGGAATTGTTGAACCCTGAGGGCACGTTGATTCTTTGAGGGCACCCAGAAGGTGGGACGGGGGGGCACTACATGCTGAAAATTGACCAGAATGGGTCACGGGAGGTGCCAGAGGTGAGTCCCCAGTGTTGCCATTAAACTCAGGGCGTGGGTGGCCAGTGGTCAGGTCCCAACGGGCACAGCTGGCTGGTGGCCCTCAGCAGCATCCAAGAGCCCGGTGGTGCCTCTCTGGGTTTCCTGCGTGCACTTCCTGCAGCACCCAGCAGGTGGCGGTGGCGCTCTGGGCGCTCCCTGACCCAAGGGTGGTTTTAAGTTCTTGGTGCCCGTGAACAATATAGGGATGAGACTTGTGACCATCTCCTCTAAGGTGTTATTTTAGAACATTAGGAACTCATGGACCTTATATTTAAAGCAGTTATTATTTCTACTGATGCTCAAATTGCCTGACCTTGAGTCGGGGGGCACTTCTGCAAGCCAGCACTTGAGTCAGAAAAGTTCAGTTTATCGTTGTCACTAAGCAGACGCTCCTGTGCACCTACTCCCAGATCAGGAGCCACAGACCAGCCCCCGCAGAGCCCCCCTCTCCGGCGTCCCCCCATAGTCACTTCCCACCTTCCAACGAGCCACTTTCCCGACTCCCAGCCCCTGGTTAGTGTAGCACCTACATAGATTCTACACATGTGTAATTCTTAGGGTGCAAGGTGCATACCGATTAGTTTCTGCTTTCAGGAAACATAAAAATGCTGTAGAAGCAAAGATTCACGGACGGACTGAATCTGGGCTCCTCGGTCACCCCGTGTACTCTCCAAGACTTAGAAGGACAAGCTCACTCTTCCGTTCACCTCCGGGCCTTCCCGCAGGTCTCCTAGCCGGCCCACCTGCTGAGACAGGTGTCACCTCTTTCCACCGCCCCTTCCAAATTGCAAAACTAGGCCGTGCCCCTCTTCTCTGAGGGGACATTTGCATTGACTGAGTTTCAGTCCCCTTGACAGGCAGTTGCCATGCTGTCTTTTAATATTCACTACTTTTTAAAATTCAGTTTGTTTTAATCTTTACCCAAGGACCTACTTAGAGAGAGGAAGACAGAGAGAGAGACATTGATCAGTTGCCCCCTGTATGCTCCCTGACTGGGGTTCAAACCCACAACCCAGGTATGTGCCCTGCCCCGGAATCGAACCAGCAACCTTTCGGTGTCTGGGATGATGGTAAACCTGCTGAGCCACTCTGGCCGGGCCCAGCTACCCCGTTAAATGGGCTGCCTCCTGGAGGTGCCGGGACCTCATCCGACACTTTGAAATCTGTCAGGATGTTTGGATGGGGCCTCCTTCCGCGTGTCCTTGTAATCTTCCCTCACGCCGACTTTCTCTCTCCCTGGACAGACCTCTCTATCTCAGGACAACGATGCCGCCCTGATGCTGGACTATGCGGCCTCCATGGACAGCAGCCAGGAAGAGGCCGCCCTGTCCCAACCGGGGGTGGCCTCGGCCTCTGCCCCGCCCGAGGAGGCGGCCTCGGCCCAGGCCCCACTGGCCCTGGAGCCCCAGGACTGCGAGCTGGCCTCCTTGGACTTTGAGAAAGAGTCACAGGCCGAGGCGTGGGACGGCCACCCAGCGCTGGACCCCGATGGAGATGCGCTGTCGGAGAGCTCCCTGAATGTCTGGGAGCCAGGTGCCCCCAAAAAGCATAAAGGTACTTGACTCCTGCCCCCCGCCGACTCCCCGCTGATGGCTTCGCTCTTGTGCTAGTTTCCAGGCTTTTACTTACCTGCTTTCTTTCCCTTCTCTGCAAGGACCCCACCCCGCGTCCCCACCCGGCAC